GTCGGTGTGTTTTCCCGCCTGGTTTTTAAACTCTGGGGTCCATTGCGGTGGATTGCCTCACTTCCGGATTCTGAGGCAATCCATCGCAATGGACCCCAGAGTTTAAAAACCAGGCGGGAAAACACACCGACGCTTCATCAGAGGCTGCACTGAGGATGTTACCAAGCACGGTAACGAAACGTCTGCGGAACAACAAACCAACTTGACGAGCCAACCAACCTCAACACCCACAACCCGAGCTACGGATCTACTCCAAATACCTCTACATTTCTAGTAGTTTTCCTCTGAACATTTCCTAAGTCTTGACATCTTTAATCACTATCCACAGAATTTTCTAACGTCTGACAGGTCCACAGAGTTACTTCCATAATTGTTAGAAACATAAACTGTTAACAGTATAATCTGTTCCCATTATTCAGACCATTAATAAAGTCTATAAATGGAATTTAAAACACCAGCATTTGATGGATCCTCACCAACAACACATCCATAGTGTTAAGTTCTACCAATTCTTCATTAATACTGAGTGTATTTGTTTGTAGAAGGCTCGCTACAAGTCTGACCACGTTCAGGCGTGTATTCCCCACTGGTGTCTCTAATATTCCCCACGTAGTTTTCATTGCACTTTTCTACAAAAGAAGTGACACAGGGTGAATAGCAAATCATAAAGTTTATCAAGTGAAATCAAAACTGTCATATTTTTATGCAAAGTTCTTTAAACAAGTGCGACTGAACATCTTAAAGACATTTTGCTATACTTGTTGACATTTGCTCGCTTCTGAAATTTTTCACCCTTCTCCAAATCATCCTGAAATTGCCACGTTATCAATTCATTATGCCTGAAAAAGCAAAGTCACCACAGAGCCAGTGGACCATAGGACTGCTCTCTCATTAGAGAAAGATGACTGGTGGTGAATTTAATAGGAGAGTCAGCGTACCTCAGGTGAGGATGAGAAGGCGGGACCATTGTAGTAACCTCAAAACAGGGAGTACATTAGCTCAGTTGGTTGTATGGCTGGTTTGCAATGCAGAGTGACAACGACAATGCGGGTTCAATTCCTGCACTGGCTAAGGTTGCCATGAAGGTCCAGCCTTCCCAACCTGCCCCTCACCTCAGATGCGGTGACCCTCAGGTTAAACTTCCCACCAACTGTCTCTCTTTAATGACAGCGCAGCCCTATGGTCCTCTGGGACTATGGTGACATTTACCTTTACTTCAATTCTGTGTTAAGCATTTTATAGTACTGTAATTCTGATTGGTAGCAACATTAATAGAAAGCCCAGGTTATCCTTGATGCAAGGATTCTATATCTAATCATCATTTGGTAGTACAAAACTTGAGCACTGCTGGAAAATAAAAAGACATTTGTCAGAGCTTCTTGTTTTGCACTCATCAGGACAATTCATTAAAAAAAATCCTTTTTATACTCTATGAAAAAAATTGGTAACTGGTTGACAAATGGACTCTGATTGCCATGGGGAAAGCACAGCTAAATGATGACTGAGAGTAAGCTACCAAGTTTTGTTCAAATTTAAACCAGGCAGGTTGACTCTGGTCAAGGCATTTCCCTGAAATATGAATCAGAGAATGGCAGTTATCTGTTTTGTTAAATTGAAACAGGCAGAGCATACAAGTTCTTTCTGTTTGCAAAAAATGGCCTGTGTATCCACATATGTAGCTTTCCCAGAGCTCATTAGTGCATCACGCTGCAAGGATGGCTGACAACCTAAAATTGATAAAGCTTTGTCTTTGAAAATAAGGTTATACTCTCCAAGTTTGTGGACTCACTAGTAGTGCTGCTTACTTAATTCTTAGAATTAAACTACAGTCATGCTAAATATAACAAATATGTTACCTGTTCTCTCATATGACATTAAAGCCTGAACTTCCACAAAGACGAAGAGCTTCATCATCATCACAACAATGATGAATCAGGCCTGAATTTAGAAGTCCCAAACATTTTCCCAGTTTTTTTTTTGTCCATGGGTGGGGAGGGGTATGGGAGGAGTCTAGAAAGGAGATTGGGGCGGATTCTAAATTGTAGATTTGTGGCTCACAGAGGCAACTGAAGGGCATCAGAGTGACCCGTCTTTCAATAATGGGGAGTCCAAAACATGTACACTTTAGAGCTGGTACAAGAACTAAATCTGCTAGTGTTCTTTCAAGACTTGGGACACCCCTTTGGAGGCAGTTCTAAGACACCTTTCATGAATTTCATGCGCCCTTGGGGGTGTTAAAATTAGACTCAAATGCATGTAAAAAAAGTGCAGAGCTCATTAGAACTATTAGCAGAAGCTGTCAAGTCATTTAAAACAGCCAGCCTCTAAATATTTAAAAGATATACCTCAAGTTCTTAAAAAAAAAATCATTATTTCATTCTGTCTGTGTTGATGTAAACCTAAAAGGCTAATATTATAGGATTAGTGCTATATCACTAATTTAACAACCTTTCATTATCACAGTAAAGCACTTGTCATTTCACATTTTGACCGACAGCTCCAAATGGTTAGAAACTCTCAGATGAAACTATGGGCTGCAATGACAGTTTTCATAAGGAATAAAAGGAAACGAAATAGTGAAATGTAGGTTTGTACTGAGAGTGATTTTTTTGACATGGTTAATTCATCAATAGATACTCGAACAGATTCAATCTCAGCAATGGATTGGAAGTTTGCCCACAGTGAAATAGTGGGTGAGTTGGCATGCTAAGTGAAGGAGACAAAGGGTTGTCACGAACTTGGCATAAGGACTATAAAGACCTGGGGGTTGGGTAAAGGAATTAGATTGGTATGCAGGTACGATTGGTCAAGGGAGACAGTAAAAGAGTATATTTTGAGATGGACAGCACGAAGGGCCATCACTTGGCATTGATGGGACATGGACAGTGTGTGGGGGTTGAGAGCTGTTTTGGTTTAATTATCATTTTTGCATTGCTTTGACAAAGTGCCATAGCATCAAAGATGGTCTTCCACACTCAGTAGCTTCCACACTACTTTGGGGAAGAGGTCATCTTACCAATAAAATTCAACCTCCGCCAAAACTTCCCAGTGAGGATCTTCGAGCAGGATTAGGTCTAGACTCTGCAGTCCTGACACAAGAGCAAGAATTCAGGCCCATATCTGCATTCTATTAAAAGAACTGCTGGTGGATGCCAAATTACTATGAAAACCTACCAGTTAAAGATCTTACATTTCAAGGAACAAAATCTTTAACTAGCTTAGTCACATAATCAAAATAGCCAGCTTGAAAAGGGAAAGAGTAAACACCTAAAATAAATTATCATATAGCCAAGTATTCAAAGCCATTAATCCATTTTACCTTAGGAGGCTCAAGTAGTATCTGATGGAAGTCTTTAAGTCTTTGTCTAATGGCTTGCAATGTGCTATTACTCACAGAAAAGGCTGCATGGTTCATACCAGTTGGACAGATCTCTAGCTGACCTTCAAAACTTGAAAAACAAATGAAAATCGATTTTACATTATGGCTGTGACTATACAAAGGAGAATGGGAATGATCACATAAGTATTCAAGCCACCCCAACTAGACATGGAACTTTTAATTCACCTACACCCTTATCCCCCGCAGTTAGTTTTGAAAAGGGCAAAAATACCTCAATCCCCAAGACAAATCAAGCAAGCCCCTGAAGATTAGAGTAATTCACAATCCAAGCTATTACCGTGCAATATATACTTAAAAACTTGAATGCCCTTCTCTCAAGGCCATTCAGGCTCATTGAAATCTTACATCTTTCAATAAGATGGCCTCTCATTATTCTAAAATCTTCAATGAGCCAATTCTACTTTGTGATGCAAGTCAACCCCTGAATCCCCAGAAGTAGCCTGGTGAACCGACTCTGAATCTTTTTCCAATGCAGATATATCCCTAAGGAGACGCACCAATTCCCTGTCCAGATTTCACCACATTTACACCCCATAGTGGCAGTGCATTACGATTGACTTAGGGGTCCAAGTTGCTGTTGACACATGCATTTTTATGTGCATGTTGTAATCTGGATCTATGGATCTCGATGAAGACGACTCAACTTTGTTTCCACCATATGGCTGACAAGGAATCGCTCCCATTCTTACCATGTGCCATTGTCATGAGTTGGAGGTTGATACTCAACCTGTTTGACTGTTATGAACGCTCCTCCCAGGGGATCCGATTTTTGGATTGAATTCAAACCTGGAGCTCATCACTACACCCTGTCCTGCATGATTTCTTTATAAGAAGACCATAAGACCATAAGACATAGGAGCAGAAATTAGGCTATTCAGCCCATCGAGTCTGCTCCGCCATTCAATCATGGCTGATAAGTTCCTCAACCCCATTCTCTCACTTTCTCCCCCTAACCCTTGATAATCAAGAACCTATCTATCTCAGTCTTAAATGTACTCAATGACCTGGCCTCCACAGCCTTCTGTGGCAGTGAATTCCATAGATTCACCACTCTCTGGCTGAAGAAGTTTCTCCTTATCTCCGTTCTAAAAGGTCTTCCCTTTACTCTCGGGCTGTGCCCTTGGGTCCTAGACTCTCCTCCCAATGGAAGCATCTTCCCAACATCCACTCTGTCCAGGTCATTCAGTATTCTGTAAGTTTCAATTAGATCGCCCCGTCATCATTCTAAACTCCACTGAGTATAATCCCAGAGTCCTCAAACGTTCATCATATGTTAAGCTTTCCATTCCGGAGACCATTCTCGTGAACCTCCTCTGAACCCGCTCCAGGGCCAGTACGTCCTTCCTGAGATTTGGGGCCCCAAAACTGTTCACAATACTCCAAATGTGGCCTGACCAGAGCCTTATAAAGCCTCAGGAGTACATCCCCGCTTTTATATTCAAGTCCTCTCAAAATAAATGGCAACATTGCATTTGCCTTCCTGACTACTGACTCAACCTGCAGATTTACCTTGAGAGAATAATGGACTTGAACTCCCAAGTCTCTTTGCACTTCAGACTTCTGAGTTTTCTCCCCGTTTAGAAAATAGTCCATACTTTTATTCTTCTTACCAAAGTGCACGACCTCACACATTCCCACGTTGTACTCATCTGCCACTTCTTTGCCCACTCTCCTAACCTGTCCACATCCTTCTGCAGCCTCCCTGCCTCCTCAATACTACCTGTCCCTCCACCTATCTTTGTATCATCTGCAAACTTAGCCAGAATGCCCACAGTTCCTTCATCTAGATCATTAATGTATAAAGTGAAAAGTTGTGGTCCCAACACTGACTGTTGTGGAACACCATTTGTCACCAGCTGCCATCCTGAGAAAGACACTTTTATCCCCACTCTCTGCTTTCTGCCAGACAGCCAATCTTCTATCCATGCTAGCACGTTGCCTCTAACACCATGGGCCCTTATCTTACTCAGCAGCCTCCTGTGTGGCACCTTGTCAAAGACCTTCTTGAAGTCCAGGTAGATAACATCCATTGGCTCTCCTTGGTCTACCCTGCTCGTTACTCCCTCAAAGAATTCTGGCAGATTTGTCAGGCATGATCTCCCCTTGATGAAACCATGCTGACTTTGCCCTACTTTACCATACACTTCCAAATATTCAGAAATCTCATCCTTTACAATGGACTCCAAAATCTTACCCACGACTGAAGTTAGGCTAATCGGCCTGTAATTTTCCAAGTTTTCCTTACTCCCTTTTTAAGCAGGGGTGTCACGTTGGAAATTTTCCAGGTCCTCTGGGACCCTCCCTGACTCTAGCGATTCCTGAAAGATCACCACTAATGCTTCCACTATCTCTTCAGCTATCTCCTTTAAAACTCTAGGGTGTAGTCCATCTGGTACAGGCGATTTATCCACCTTCAGGCCAATCAGTTTTACTAGCACCTTTTCCTTGGTGATGGCCACCATACTCAGCTCTGCCCCCCGACTCTCTTGAATTTTTGGGGGATTACTTGTGTCTTCCACCGTGAAGACCGACATGAAGTAATTATTCAGTTCCTCAGCCATTTCCTTGTTCCCCAGTACTATTGCTCCACCTGCATTTTCCAGTCGTCCAATGTCCACTTTTGCCTCTCTTTTGCCCTTTATATATCTGAAGAAGCTCTTACCATCTTCATTTATATCACTGGCTAGCTTACCCTCACATAGTGTATGCTCTTTGCAAAAAAAAAGTTCCACTTTCATATGGAGTTCAACAAGCGTTCAACAACGTTCTGCAAGGTAGGCTGGTAAGGTTAAATCTCATGGGATCCAGGGGGTGTCAGCCAATTGGATACAAAATTGGCTTGAAAGCAGGAGACAAAGGCTGGTGTTTGAGGGTAGCTTTTTAGATTGGAGGCCTGTGACCAGCAGTGTGCCATATCGATTGGTCCACTACTTTTCATCATTTATATAAATGAATATGATGTGAATATAGGAGGTACGGTTGTGGATGACACCAAAATTGTTCATGCAACTGACAATGAAGAAGATTATCTCAGAGTACAACGGGACCTTAATCAGATGGGCCAATGGGCCAAGGAGTGGCAGATGGAGTTTAATTTGGATAATGTGGGGTAGTGCATTTTGGCAAGACAAAACAGGGCAGGACTTATGCAGTTAATGGTGGGGCCCTGGGAAGTGTTGCTGAACAGAGACCTAGGGGTGCAGGTGCATAGTTCCTCAAAAGTACAGTCGCAGGTAGTCAGGGTGACGAAGGCAGCTTTTGGCACGCTTGTCTTCACTGGTCAGAACACTGAGTATAGGAGTTGGGACATCATGTTGCAGCTGTACAGGATATTGGTGAAGCCACTTTTAGAATACTGCTTGCAATTCTGGTCACCCTTCTATAGAAAGGATGTTGATAAACTTGAGAGGGTGCAGAAAAGATTTACAAGAATGTTGCCAGGACTGGACAGTTTCAATTATAGGGAGAGGCTGCATGGTCTAGGGCTTTTTTCCACTGGAGGGTCGGAGGTTTATAAAATCATGAGGGGCATGGATGGGGTGAATAGCCAAAGTATTTTTCTTAGGTTGGAGGGCTTAGAGTTAAGGTGAGATGGGAAAGATTTAAAAAGGGCCTGAGGGATACCTTTTTCATGCAGAGGGTGGTGCATGTATGGAATGAGCTGCCAAAGGAATTGGTGGAGGCAGATACAATGATAAAATTTAAAAAGCATCTGGATGGGCATATGAATAGGAAGGGTTTAGAGGGATATGGGCTAAATGCTAGCAAATGGGACTAGGTCAGATTGGAATGTCTGGTCAGCGCAGACGATTTGGACTGAAGGGTCTGTTTCCGTGCTGTAATACTCTATGACTCTATTCTGTTTTCAACCCTAATTACTTGCTATATCTGAATGTTAACATTATAAGATTCTTCATACCCAGATCCCTCTGTGCTACAAAATTATACTCTCTCTTCATTTCAATGACATTCTGCTTTTCTATTTTTGCCAACTTTTCCCACATTATATTCCATCTGTCAAATATCTGCCCATTCTTTTAACCTCAATTTCTTTATAGATTTATGTCCTCAAAACATGATTTCCAACCTATTATTGCATCATCAACAAATGGTCAAATTAGTTATTATTTTCACTGTCTTCTTCCAAAGTCTCAACATCCCTCATTTGATATGGTGATCAAAACCAAATACAACTCACTCCAAGTGCAGCCTAAGTAAAGCATACATGCTTTTTTTCAATAAATAATCCAACATCCCCAGTACTGAAAACTGAATGTTTTTCCAATTCTTTAACACACTGTTTGCTGGCCTTCGCTAATTTAACCATTATGGCCTCACATTTTCTCTGCTCCAGACTTTACAGGGTAATCCTATACTATATACATTAATCCATTGTAGATTAATGCTTCATGTTTTTTAAACCCACATGAATCACAGTGCATTGACCCAGAGAACTGTGCCTTTGCACAACATAATTGAAACATAATTATTAAACAAGATATGCAGTATTATGCGAGCGCTCCAAATTAACTGCAGAAATAATTTCAACTTACGCTGGTCTTCGAGTCTCCAATAAGGTCAACAATATTTGGATGCAATTCACAATTGCTGATTCAGTTTTTTCTTTATCCAGAACACTAGCAAGTAAGTGTTCTAAAGTTTCTTGCCTAAAAGAAAGGACAGACTTCTATTTTAATCAATTATAACAGTAGAAACAAAGCAACGACTGGGAATATAGCCTTGTTATGGGAAAGGATTGGAATTGCAGCTAAATTTGGTGCTGCAAAGCTAGCATCAGGAATAACTACGGAAACTACAGAACTGTCATAAAAGCCCATCTGTTCACATTTGTCTTTTAGGACATGCAGGGACACCAGGATTTCATATGAAATCATTTATGTTCAACTTGTACTCTAACATCACAAGTTAGCACAAAAGTCAGTTTGAGTACAATATAATTCATTCATACATTCTTGCATTGTTATTGACGCATTGGATCTTACAGGGTGCTTGCTTCTGTGACTTATATTAATCTATACATTATCGCACAAATTTAAAAACAGTGCACAGGAGTAAGTTGACTTTTACAATATCATCAAAATATTCAGGTTGTGGAGGGATCTAAATACAAAACTTCTGCAGGTGTTGTAAATAAAGTCCATATATTTTCATGTGAAAAGATAAGCAATGACATATGGGAGTAGTAAAGTCTTCCCTATCCTGGGGTCAAAAGCACAGTTAGGGGCAAACAGGACACTGAAGGTTGAACCTAACTGGTTGTAACCTAGCAGCGGCCAAGAAGAGGACTGAAGATAGTGACAAAATATAAGTTTGTAATGGTTCCAGTCCTTTGAATGTTTAATAGGAAGAATAGTGGTCCATTCAGGACAGAGTCATAGAGTCATATAGCACTGAAACAGACCCATCCAACCTGTCCATGCCCGAACTAAACTAGTCCCACTTGCCTGCATTTGGCCCATATCCATCTAAACCTTTCCTATTCATGTGCCTATCCAAATGTCTTTTGGATGTTGTAACTGTCCAAACCTGCATCTAACCACTTCCTCTAGCAGTTCATTCATTCCACACACAAACTACCTCTGCATGAAAAGGTTGCCCCTCAGATCCCTTTTAATTCTTTCTACTCTCATCTTAAAAATATGTACCCTAGTTTTGAAATCACCCACCCTAGGAGAAAAGATCTTTCTAATTCACCTTACTAAGCACCTCATGATTTTATAAACCTCTGTAGGTCACTCCTCAACCTCCTTCATGCTAGTGACAAAGATCCCAGCCTATCCAGCCTCTCCTTATAATTCAAACCCTCCAGTCCCGGCAACATCCTCGAAATCTTTTCTAAACCCTCTCTGCTTTAATAATATCCTTCCTAGAGCAAGTTGACCAGAACTGGTACAGAATACTGCAAAAGTGGCTCACTAATGTCCTGGACAACCTCATCATGATATCCTGAGAGATTATCACTTATCAGAAACTGAACGAGTCTAGCCATACGAATACTGTGCCTACAACAGCACTTCAGACACTAGGAATTTTACAGCAAGTCACTCATTTCCTGTCTGCCTCAATGTCTATTCACCATCTATAAGGCAGATCAGGAGTGCGACGGAATATTCATCTTTGACCTGGATTAGTGCAGCTCAAACAACATTCAAGAGGTTTGTTGTCATGCAGAACAAAGCAACCCACTTGATTAGCATCCCATCCAGCACATTCATTTCCCTCATCACTGAAGAACAGAGGCAGTAGCATGTACTACCGGCAAGATCCACTGCAGTAATATAGCAAGGTTTCCCCAACCACATCTTCAAACCTGTAACCTGTATCACCTAGAACAACAAAGGCTGCCGATGATCGGCATCAAGCCGCATACCATCCTAACTTGGAGCTATTGGCCATCTCAAGTGTTGCTGTGTCAAAATCCTGGAACTCCCTGCCTAACAGCACTATGGGTGCCCTGACACGCCAAGAGCTGCAGCACTTTGAGTAAACAGCTCACCACCACCTTCCCCAGGGCAATTAAAGATGGGCAATAAATGCTGGCCTAGCCAGCAGCACACTTTCCAGGAATAAATTTTAAAAATACACGCATCATCCTTATATCTAGATCACATTACATCTAGAAATAATATACCAGTACTTATCTTAACAAATGGAGAAGAAGGCACCTACAACATTGGTACCTATCTGACAAATGTGGAAAATTGGCCCAAGTATGCACGGACTGGTTGAACTGAAGGGTGTGTTGCCGAGGTGTATGACTCTCCCTCTATGTTTTGTATTCAAAAAGCAAGACTGTTCTGGCCCAATTAGTCTACTCTTGATCATTAGTAAAGTGATGGAAGGTGTCATCAACAGTGCTATCAAGCAGCACTTGCTTGGCAATAGCCTCCTCACTGATACTCTGTCTGGATTCTATTAGGGGCCACTCAACTCCTGTGCTAATTACAGCTATAGCTCAAACATGGACAAAACAGCTGAATTCCAGAGGTAAGGCGAGTGTAACTGACATCAAGGCTGAATGGCTCCCTGGGTGTGGCATCAAGGAGCCCTAATAAAACTAGAGTCAAAGGGAGTAAGGAGACATACTCTTCGCTGATTGATGTCATAGCTGGTAGAAACTGTGATAGTTGTGGTTGTAAAAGATCAGTCATCTTGGCTCCAGAACTTCTTTGCAGGTATTGCTCAGGATAGTGGCCTAGGTCCAACCATCTTCAGCTGCTTCAATGAATTTCTGTCCACTGCAAGGTCAGAAGTGGGATCTTCACTATGATTGCACAATGTTCAGCATCATTCCAACCTCCTTACAGACAGGATGGCAGACAAGCAGTCCAGAATTAGAGGTAGTGAAGGGATCAGAAAAGGTGTTGAAAAGTGAATGCAGGTGTCATTCAAACTCACATGGAACACAATGCCGTCTTCAGACAATGTTGCTAAGGGCCAATATTTGTGCAGTGGAAAGAGTGTCAGGAATAGTGCTATGAATTTCTCTAGGTTATATCACAACAGCAGGAAGATGCAATATATGATTTGTTTTGTTCACTCGTGGGACATGGGCATCATTGGCTGTCCAGCATTTATTGCCCGTCCCTAGTTGCCTTTGAGAAGGTGGTAGTGAGCTGCCTTCTTGAACCACTGCGCTCCATGAGCTGTTGGTTGATTCAGGATTCCAGGTTTTTATCTCAGTCAGAGTGAAGGAATGGCAATATATTTCCATGTCACAATTGTGTAGCTTTGAGGGGAACTTGCAAGTGGTAGTGTTCCCAGGTCTCTGCCACCCTTGTACTTTTAGATGAAAGTGGTCATGCAATTGGAAGGTGTTGTTTAAGAATCATAGAATCATCATAATCCTTACACTGTGGAAACAGGCCCTTCAGCCCAACAAGTCCACACCGAGCCGATGAAGAACATCCCACCCAGACCCAACCTTATCCCTTTCCCCTGTAACCCACCTAATCTACACACTCCTGAACATGATGGGCAATTTAGTATGGCCAATCCACCCAACCTGCACATCTTTGGATTGTGGGAGGAAACCAGAGCACCTGGCAGAAACCCACACAGACGCGGGGAAAATGTGCAAACTCCATATAGTCTCCTGAGGCTGGAATCAAACCTGGGTCCCTGGCGCTGTCAGGCAACAGTGCTAATCACTGAACCATCGTGGCGCAGATCTTTGGTGAATTTCTGCAGTGCATTTTGTAGATCGTATAAGCTATTGCTAGTGAGCGTCAGTGGTGGACAGTGTGGACATAGTGCCACTCAAGCAGATGGCTTTGTCCTGGATGGTGTCAAGCTTCTTGAGTTGTTGGAGCTGCAGCCATCCAAACAAATGGGGAGTATTCCATCACACTCCTGACTTATGCCTTGTAGATCGAGGACAGACTTTGGGGAGTCAGGTGGTGAGTTATTTGCCTCATTATCCCTAGCCTCTTGCCCTGCTCTTGTAACCAGCATGTTTATGTTATGAGTCCAGATGAGTTTCTGGTCAATGGCAATCCCCAGTATGGTGACAGTGAAGGATTCAGTGATAGAAATGTCAAGAGAGAGAAGGTTAGATGGTCTCTTATTGAACATAGTCATTGCCTGGAATTTGAATGGCACAAATATGATTTGGCACTTATCAGCCCAAACCTGGAAATTGTCCAGATCTTGTTGGATTTGAACACAAACTGCTTCAGTATCTGAGGAGTCACGATTGGTGCTGAACATTCTAGAATCATTGGTAGACATCTCATTTTTCACTTTATGATGGAGGGAAGGTCATTGGTGAAGCAGCAAGATGTTTGGGCGTAGGACAATAACCTGTAGGAACTCCTGCAGAGATGCCCTGGGACTGAGATGACTGCCCTCCAACAACTACAACCATCTTCCTGTATGTGAGGTGCACCAGCAGAGAGTTTGCTCCCTGACTCCCAGTTTTGCTCGAGCTCCTTGATGTCAAGGGCTGTCACTTTCACTTCACCTCACTTCTGGAGGTCAGCTCTTTTGGCCATATTTGAACCAAGGCTGTAATGAGGTCAGGAGCCGAGTGGCCCTAGAAGAACACAAACTGGCCATCACAAAGCAGGTTATGGCTGAGCAGGTGCTGCTCGATAGCACTGTTGATGATGCCTTCTATTACTTTACTGATGACCGAGAGGAGACTGATGGGGTGGTAATTGGCTGGTTTGGATTTGTCTTGCTTTGGGTGGGCAATTTTTCACATCATCAGATAGATGCCAATGTTGTAACTGTACAGGAACAGCACGGCTAGGGGACCAGCAAGTTCTGGAGCTCAAGTCTTCAGTACTATTGCTGGAATGTTGTTGGTGTCCATAGTCTTTGCACTATCTAGTGCCTCCAACCGTTTCTTGATGTCATGTGGAGTGAATCAAATTGGTTGAAGACTTGTATCTGTAATGCTGGGGACAAATGGAGGAGGCCAAGATGGATCATTCACTTGGCACTTCTGGCTGAAAAATGCTGCAAGTTCTTCAGCCTTATTGTTTGCACTAATGCGTTGCGCTCTTGCATCATTGAGGATGGGGAGATTCGTGGAGCCTCCTCCAAGGAGTTGTTTAATTGTACACCACCATTCACAACTGGATGTGGCAAAACCGCAGAGCTTAGGTCTGATCCCTTGAGTGTGTGATCACTTAGCTCTGTCTATCATTTATTGCGTGTACTGTTTGGCACGCAGTTAGTCCTGTTTGGTTGCTGCATCAGGTTGACACCTATTTTTAGGTATGCCTGGTGCTGCTCCTAGCATGTCCTCCTGCACTCCATTGAACCAGGGTTGATCTCCTGGCTTGATGGTAGTGGTTGAGCTGGAGATTATGATGGGCCTGAGGTTGCGGATTGTGCTGGGGATCAATTCTGCTGCTGTTGATGGCCCACAGCACAGGTGCAACTTGCTAGGTCTGTTCAAACTCTGTCCCATTTAGCACAGTGATAGTGCCACATAACACATGGAGATTACTCCATGGACTTTGTTTCCACAAGGATTGTGTGGTCATTCTCACTGATACTGTCATGGACAGATACATCTGTAGTTAGTAGATTGGTAAGGGTAAGGTCAAGTATAAGGAAAGTATGTTTTTCCCTCTTGTTGGTTCCCTTACCATCTGTCGCAGACCTAGTTTAGCAACTACATCCTTGAGGACCCTGCCAGCTCATTAATAGTGCTGTTGCTGAGCCATTCTTGGTGGTGGACATTGAAATCCCCAACCCAGAGTATGTTCTGCGCCGTTTTCACTCAGTACTTCCCCAAAGTATTGTTCAACATGAAGGAGTACTGATACATCAGCTAAGGGAGAACTGTACATGGTAACCAGCAGAAAGTTTTCTTGCCCATGTTTAACCTGAAACCATGAGACTTCATGGGGTCCAGAGTCAATGTTAAGGACTCCCAGGGCAACTCCCTCCTGACTCTATACCACTGTGTCACCACCTCTGCTGGGTCTATCCTGCTGGTGGGACAGCACATATCCAGGGATGGTGGTGGTGGTGGCGCCTGGGATTTTGTAAGTGAGCATGACTATGTCAAACTGTTGCTTGACTAGTCTGTAAGACAATTTTCCTAATTTTGGCACTAACCCACAGATGTTAGTAAGGGAGGCTTTGCAAGGTCAACAGCGCTGCTTCTGCCATTGTCTTTCCTGGTGCATAGGTTGATGCCAGTTGGTCTGTGCAGTTTCATTTTTTCATTGAGACTTCATAGCAATTGATACAACTGAGTGGCTTGCTTGCCCAATTTAAATGACAATTGCGAGTCAACTACATTGCTGCAGGTCTGGAATCATATGTAGGCCAGACAAGGTGAGGATGGCAGATTTCCTTCCCTGAAGGAAATTAGCAGGCCAGATGGTTTTTTCCAACAAATGACAGTAGTTTCATGGTCATCTGTAAATTCTTAATTCTAGAAATTTTTTATTGAATTCAAATTCCACCATCTGCTGTGGGGATTTGAACCTGGATCCCCAGAACATTAGCTGCGTTTTTTTGATTAACATTCCAGCAATAAAACCACTCCCCATACGCAGGATAAGGCAGTCCTCTCAGCTGGACAACAAGGAAAGAGGTTGAAGGGTGATCACAACAAAGTTGCAAAGAAGCTGAGGAAGATGAAGAGGAATTGTGTGTCAAGGTCACAGTCACAGGGAATGATAATTTGAATATTTGTTTATAATTACTTCGGTGCTATAATGCTGAAAACTCTTTGGAGAGTTTCAAAAATGGAGTTGCAAGAAAAAGAATTAACATGAAGAGGAAAGGGCATTTGAAAATGGGATGAAATGGGGACTAATGCCAAAAACTCAAGTTTTACAGATATAAAGCAGAGGCAATTGTCATGTTACAATACAAAATGTCATGGTTTTCACCTCGAAGGATTTTGGCAGTTAGGAAGCAAAACAAAGACAGAAGTTGTATGGAACAGTCTTCTCTCTATTCCTAATACTTTCCTCCTCTCCATCCCCCTTAAAACTATATTTCTTAGACATGAGCTAACAGTAGGTCTTTAGTAGTCTGAAAAGATTTTGATGGAGTGGATACAGACAAAAGAGGACAACCAGAGGTAATCAACACAAGATAGCAATAAATCCAACACAGAATGTAGGGGAAAAAAAATCTTTACCAAAAAGAGTGGTGAGAATGGGGAATTCACTACCATGGGGAATCATTGAAGCAAATTGTACAGGTGCATTTTAGGGTAAACTAAACAAGCCTGTAAGAGAGAAGGGAAGAGAGGGTTACAATGGTAAACTAAATAAGGAAGGGGAGTAGGCTAGAGCATAAAGTTAAGCGGATACTGGTTGGGCCAAACAGTCTGTTTCTGTACTATATATTCAATATATTCCTAACCAAAAATAACTTGACCTTCTGATTACATTAAACTAAAATACTTCACAACTCCCATTTCACTCCAGGAATGCACACTCAACAGCTCAATAAACTCTATAATTAGCACAAATTTGAAGTCAGGTGGCACCTAGCCCAGAAACAAAACAGCCATGAGTTTTTTTTAGCCTCAAGCCTGTTTAAAGTGTCACTTCCACTGAAATACATAGAAATACCCAGATCAGAACTAACCCCATACGAGCACTGGAATCCTACGGGGAAATAGATTAGAAAGCCAAAATAGAGTAGTGAGAAGATAAACATACATGGCATTTAAAGAACACTGTCCACACTGACTTTATTTTGTAAAGGTATGCTGCAGTTGGTTTCCTTTTAGTAATGATGGCTTACTCAGAAACATACATAAAGGATACTATAATAATACTGTTCTTATCATTTCAAAGGAATATTTCCAACATATGTAAAGTGTGAAATCAAATGTTATTCTTTTACACATTTGTTTTCATCATTAAGAACAATGATCATTAATTTAAAAATTAATCGATAACTTTAGTAAGTGACTTTTAAACAATTTGTATTAAAGTACATACTTTTCTAACGTTGATAGAAGTGGATCTGGTTCTGGAGAGCTCTGCATTTGAATCATTTGGTCTCTGCTGAGGCGGATGATTTCACACAACGATTGTGATGCATTTGAGTGTCTCTTAAAAAAAAGTTAGGTATTTAATGTCATTTATCTCAGATCATATTAAAAACTCAAGAATAAAGCTAAGCAAGCACATTTTCACCTCGAAGCTTGAAGAGCAAACTTAGTGAACGGTTTTAATATGATATCATCCAAAAGCAAATTCACCAAAGTTACTCGTTCAGAGGAAAGATCATTGATCTGAAACTGTAACCTGTTTCTCTATCCACAAATGCTGCATGACCTGAGTATTTTCAGCATTTTCTCATTATTACCTTGACGATTTATTAATGGATTACAGTTGCCACTTCCTTTTAGAAAACTAAAGATATATAATGAAGTACATAATGATAATAAATGTTGAATAAACGAATGATAGATTAGTTGCCTTCAGTATAATCTCCCTCTTCAAAAAGAAGTTCAACTCCACATACAAATATATCGCCATCAGCCCTGAGAGAGAAGCAACTTATAACTCATAAAGGAACTAGGAGTACAACGGTTAAGATAAGTCTTTCAAGCAGCTTTGAGACTTCTGGTTGCTTTGTTAAATTTGATTGGTCAAATAGTCAGGATACTTTAAAGCTGGTCAATACCCAAGGACTCTGTCTTCTTCAGTCAAATAAGTATTGAAAATAATCTGGAGGGGGAGGAGAAACATGTACAAAAATCTTTTCTGCCAGGAGGCTGACAGCCACTAACATGATACCTTAGAACTTGTGGGAGAAATCGGACATTTGTTCTGAAAGGTGGCAACAGAACTTATTTCTAGGTAATCCCCTTCATCAGAAATGAAAATATCAAAATGATCTGCCAAGGATCTACCTTGTTCATTACCAAATTCAATCCAGACATTGGGCTGCATTAATTATCCATATGGCATCATTTCATAACAATGATGTTTCCTCCGAACAAAGCAGAGATTCCTCAGTGTATTGAAAACTGAATCTGTATAAATTGGAAGTATTACAAAATTTACTGGCATCCAGATAGGTTCCAATCTACAATGGAAGCAGTGATCAGAGGATGATTGCTGCTAAAGTATGTCAAACACACTAACTTACTATGGTGACACTGAGGAGGACAGATATGCAAGAAGCTCACTTGCACTGGACACATGAGGAAACTTGTATAATAAAGTGAACGTTGAACTCCCATTTTAATAATATTTTGTACAAAATGCTGATGATTCTTTCAGGGGAACCTTGCATTTGAAATTGCCAAACTTGTTTGTGGTAATGTTTGGTTTTTGCCTTTTCTGTTGGACCAGAATACAGAAATAATATTTTCTAAGCAAAATCTCTGAATTACAGCATTGTAGGAATAGAATGCAATAAAAGCAGCAGTCTTGGCTGCAAGAGAAGATATCCTAGACCATCTGTAAATAAGCCTCTCAGAATTATGGATCTCAGGTTGGCTGCAAATAAAATAGGTCTCCATGGATCAACAATCCCAATATATCAGAAACAGAACCTGCTGAATTACTCTTGGTATCTCTCTGGAGGGCAACAATATCAAATCAGTATTCAAACACAAAGTATTACGGAAAAGTCAACTTTTTTTTTTAAAACTACAGCATTTGGCAGGATCCAACGTGCTACACATATTTTTGAATTAGAAAGCTGCAAATACATTGACAAAGTCACTTCAATCAGATCAAGTCTCAGTTTAACATCGCATTAATATGAAATGATCATTGCAAAATGATCTCTAAAGTGAAAAACAATATTTGAGATCCAAAAGATTTTCTCGTATGCAAGATAGAAATCTCCTGTCAGGCTGACAAACAGCCTTATTATTCACAACTGAAGATCACCTGCCTACACGGGACATGAATCCAGCTACTCTGCCCCAACGCGAGGGCAGCAATATCTTATTTGTATATGGAGGATAAACCAATATAGTGGTATCTTATAACAGCAAAAGACAATCTGACATTTAATACATCAGCATGCCTCCAATCCAATTTGTTGTATGGCAAAACTATTTGTCGGCAAAGCACATTGCATGCATAAGCATTCTCTATTTTTAACGCTATCTCAGTGGTCCATCAGTTTGGTAATGTATCACTTCCACTTCCAAATGCTTTAAAGACGTATGCTTCATAGGATGAAACCACCAACTCTCACCACCAATGCAGTGGGAAATGACTGTAATCTACTTCAAAAAAAAGAGAATTGTATAAATTTTTCACACCAGTCAGATTTGCTGGTTAGGTAATTTGATTTGGAAAATCTTGCAACATGCTGTGCATTCTCCAATTGCTACAACCAGGTGTGCCATCAGGGGTAGCACAGTCAGTGGAGAAAAAAAACAGCTACAATGCTAATTCATGACGGGTGGGAATCAAAACAGGCAGATCAAAAATCAGTTCAGTAATAATTTAAAATTAGGCTATTCAATTTTTCTGACCAACATATTGTGCTTCATGTTTTAAAAAAGAGCCAGCAGGGATGTAAGATTTGCAGAGGAAATAAGGAAAAATGATAAACTGAACAGATGTATTTTATAATAATAAATCAGTAGTCTCAAATGAGACCAAGCTGAACACTAGAGTCATAGCATCAGACACCTGTACAGCATGGAAACAGACCTTTCAGTCCAACACATCCATGTTGACCAGATATCCTAAATTAATCTCGTTCCATTTGCCAGTACTTGGCTCATATCGCTCTAAACCCTTCCTATTCGTATACCCAGCCAGATGCCTTTAAATGTTGTAATATATCAACCTCTTCCACTTCCTCTCGTAGTTCATTCCATCCATACACCACCCCCTCCATGAAAAAGTTGCGCGAGGTCCCTTTCAAATCTTTCCACACCCACTTTAAACCTATGCCCACTAGTTTTGGACTCCGCTACCCTGGGGAAAAGACCTTAGCTATTCACCCTATCTATGCCCCACATGATTTTATAAAAGGACCTCTACAAGGTTACCCCTCAGCCTCTGATGTTCCAGGGAAAATAGCCCCAACTATTCAGCCTCTCCCCATAGCTCAAACCCTCCAAACATGGCAACATCCTTGTCCCTCTTTCGCAGCTACACTGGCACTATCCCCCACCTCTTCCTCCGTTACATTGATGACTGTATCGGCGCCACCTCATGCTCCCACGAGAAGCTCGAACAGTTCATCAACTTTACTAACACCTTCCACCCCAACCTCAAGTTCACCTCAACCATCTCTGATACCCCTCTCTTCTTTCTGGACTTCTCTGTCTCCATCTCTGGTAACCACCTTGAAACTGATATCTATTTCAAACCCACTGACTTCCACAGCGACCTAGACTACACCTCCTCTCACACACCTTCCTGCAAGAATGCGATCCCCTATTCCCAATTCCTCCACCTCCACTGCATCTGCTCCCAAGATGAGGCGTTCCACTCCCGGACATCCCAGATGACCTCGTTTTTCAAGGACCGCAATTCCCTCCCCCGCCCAGTGGTCAAAAATGCCCTCGAACGCATCTCTTGCGTTTCCCGCACCTCAGCCCTCACACTCCCTCCCCGCAATAAAAACAAAGACAAAATTCCCCTTGTCCTCACGTATCACCCCATTAACCTCCGAATTCAATGCATCATTCTCCGCCACCTGCAATCTGACCCCATTACCAAGACTATATTTCCCTCCCCACCATTATCTGCCTTCTGGAGGGACCGCTCTCTCCGCGACTCCCTCATCAGCTCCACACTCCCCACTAGCCCCACCACCTTTCCCTGCATCTGCAGGAGGTGCTACACCTGCCCTTACACCTCCTCCCTCACATCCATCCCAGGCCCCAAAAAAGCCTTCCACATTAAACAGATGTTCACCTGCGCATCCGCTAATGTGGTCTATTATATCCACTGTTCCCGATGTGGCCTCCTCTACATCGGGTAGACCAAGCGGAGGCTCGGAGACCGTTTTGTGGAGCGCCTACGCTCGGTTCACGACAAACGACAACACTTCCCAGTCGCGAACCACTTCAACTCCCCCTCCCACTCCCTGGATGACATATCTATCATGGGCCTCCTCCAGTGTCACAACGATGCCACCCGGAAACTGGAGGAACAACACCTCATATTCCGCCTTGAAACCCTACAACCCAATGGTCTCAATGTGGACTTTACTCGATTCAAAATCTCCCCACCCCCGACCTCATGCCAAGACCAGCCCACGCTCTCATCCCCGCCTCCGTGACCTGTCCATCTTCTCTCCCATCTATCCACTCCTCCAACCTCACTGACCAACCCCCAACCCTACTTCCTGTCTACACTCACCTTTACTAGCTTCATCCCCGCCTGCTTGACCTGTCCGTCTTCTCTCCCACCTATCTGCTCCACTATCCACATTCTATCACCATCCCCCCCCTGCACTGATTTCAGAGCCCTCTTCCCCCCCCCCCAATTTCTGAAGAAGGGTCCAGACCCCGAAACGTCAGCTTTCCTGCTCCTCTGATGCTGCCTGGCCTGCTGTGTTCCTCCAGCTCCACACCCTGTTATCTCAACATCCTTGTAAACCTTTTCTGAACCATTTTAAGCTTCACAACATCCTTCCTATAGCAGGGAGACCAGAAGCAAACAAAGTATTCCAGAAGAGGCCGAACCAACGTCCTGCATAGCTGCAACATGACATCCCATACTTCAATAAAGGCAAACATACCAAATGCCTCTTCACTATCCTGTCTACCTGCGACTTTACTCTCTAGAAACTATGAACCTGCACTCCAAGATCTCTTTTTCAGCAACACTCCCCAGGATCTTACCTTTAAGTAAATAAGTCCTGACCTGATTTGCCTTTCCAAAATGCAGCACCTCACATTTATCTAAATTAAACTCCGTCCGCCACTCCTCAGCCTATTGGACCATCTGATCAAGGTCCCGTTGTACTCTGAGGTAACTTTCTTCGCTGTCCACTACACCACCAATTTTGGTGTCATCTGCTTTTTGGTGTCATCATACCTCCTATGTTCACATCCAAATCATTTATATAAATGACAAAAAGCAATGGACCCAGCACTGATCTGTCTCCTACCTTTAAGCCAGTTCTGTTTCCAAATGGCTAGTTCTCCATGTATTCCATGTGATCTAACCTTGCCAACCAGTCTATCACGCGGAACCTTGTTGAACATCTTACTGTAGTCCATATAGGTCACGTCCACCACTCTTCTCTCATCAGTCCTCTTCATTACTTCTTCAAAAACTTAAGTTAGTGAGACACAATTTCCCACACATAAAACCATGATGACTATCCCTAATCAGTCCTTGCATTTCCAAATACATGTAAATCTTGTCCCTCAGGATCCCCTCCAACAACTTGCCCACCACTGATGTCAGGCTCACTGATCTATAGTTCCCTGGCTTTTCCTTACCACCTTTCTTACATAGTGGCACCACTTTAGCCAACCTCCAGTCTTATACCACCTTACCTGTGGTTATCGATGATACAAATATCTCAGTAAGGGGTCCAGCAACCATTTCTATAGGTTCCCACAAAGTTCTAGAGTACATCTGATCAGGTCCCAGGAATTTATCCACCTTAATGCATTTTAAGACATCCAGCTCGTCCTTGTCTGTAATATACACATTTTTCAACATGTCGCTATTTATTTCCCCAAGTTCTCTAGCTTCCATATCCTCCCCATAGTAAACATTGATGCAAAATACTCATTTAGTATCGCCCCCATCTCCTGTTGTTCCACACATAGGCGGCCATGCTGATCTTTAAGGGGCCCTATTCCCTCCCTTGTTACTCTTTTGACTTCAATATAGTAGAGTCCCTTTGAATTCTCCTTAACTATTTGCCAAAGCTATCTCATGTTCCCTTTTTGCCCTCCTGATTTCTCCCTTAAGTATACTTCTACTGCCTTTATACTGTTCTAGGGATTCACTCAATCCCTGAAGTCTATACTTGACATATGCTTCCTTCTTTTTCTTTACCAAAACCTCAATTTCTCTAGTCACCCAGCATTCCCTACACCTACCAGCCTTGCCCTTCACCCTAACAGGAACATACTGTCTCTAAAGTCTTGTTACCTCATTTTTGAAGGCTTCCCACTTCCCATCCGTCCCTTTACCTGTGATATCCACCCCCAATCAACTTTTGAATGTTCTTGCCTAATACCATCAAAATTGGCTTTCTTCCAATTTAGAACTTCAACTTCAGATCCAGCCTATCCTTTTCTATCACTATTTTGAAACTAATAGCATTATGATCACTGGCCGCAAATTGCTCCCTCACTAACACCTCAGTCATCTGCCCTGCCTTATTTCCCAAGAGTAGGTACATCCACATACTAATCAGAAAATGTTCTTGTACACACTTAAATTCCTCTCCATCTAAGCCCTTAACACCATGGCACCCCCAGTCTATGTTTGGAAAGTTAAAATCCCCTACTTTTACCACCCTATTATTCTTACAGATAATTGAGATATCCTTTCAAATTTGTTTCTCAATTTCCCACTGACTTCTGGGGGGTCAACAGCACAATCCAAACAACGTGATCATTGTATTTCTCAGTTCCACCCAAATAAAATTTTCCTGGATGTACTCTCAGGAATATCCTAAACAGCTGTAATTTTATCCCTAATCAAAAATGCCAACCCCTCCTCTCTTGTGCCCCTTTCTATCCTTCCTACAGCATCTATACCCTGGAACATTAAGCTGTAGTCCTGTCCATCCCTGAGTCACATTTCTGTAACTGCTATGATATCCCACTCCCATGTTCCCAACCATGCCCTGAGTTCACCTGCCTTACCTGTCAGACCTCTCACTGAAATAAATGCAGTTTAATTTATCAGTCCTATCTCATTCTATGCTTTGTTTCTGCCTGTCCTGACTGTTTGACTCACTCTTTTTCCCAACTGCCCCATTCTCAGACTGATCTCTTTTCTCACTATCTCCCTTCTTCCTTTGGGACAGAAAGGAAGAGCTTTAGCTAAACTTTAGTTCCATCTGTAAGATTGAACCCTAGAATCCAATGTGCAGGTGTAACATCTGCAATCCAACACCATTGCAATCAAACCATGCTGGGTTTCGGACATCCAACCTTTACTGTGCCTGGACTCAAAGCCCCAAAGCCAGTCCTCAATGTTCGATTGTTCATTGTTTATTGTGTTTCTTTATGGACAACCATGTTTGAAGATACCTTCAAGATAACCTAATCTCAATGACTAGCCTCTTAGCTCGGCTAAGTTCAAGTCCAGGCAAATGTTTTTCAAGCTGACAAAACATTCCTTACTACAAATATACCCTTTTTTTTGGCAATTTCAGTTTTCAGCCAGCCAGATTTTTGGTATTTTGAACATATTGTACTCAAGATAGAGCCAAGGCAGTAATTACCGCTACTTATCTGATATGTTATGGCAACCATGAGAATGAGACATACTGTGGGGCTGTTCTTCAGTACACAGCTATCCACTGGATTGGTTTTTTTTTTTTTTAAAAGATTTAAGCAGAAATAACATACTTTTGCATCTACTTACGTCTTCATCGTGGGACGGGTGTACCATTTCTATTAGTTGCTGAATAATCTTTTCCTCATTCAACCACTGCAAATATTTTTTAAAAAAGTAAAAGCAAAATATAATTGAATATATCAAGTTAATGCTGAATTAGAAACTACCTTACCTTCAACTATAATTCAACTTCATAACCAATAAACAAAATATTCAAATTAACTATACTTTAAAATACATCTGCATCTGTTCCTATTATTCACCATGCAATAGTCATTGAATTGATTTTTTTTTTGTTCCTGCACGTACACACTATTTCTCCTATCCTTGTCAACCTGCAATGAAAATCACTCTGTCAAGCCAAATTTGAAAAAGCCTCTTTTGAGCTCTTCTTTGATCGTGGCTGTGCACAATCCCCTAACTCAATCTTCTTCTAAAGTGCTTAAAGTACTCATCCATCAAGTAAGCACTTTAGAAATACCAATTTTTAAGTCATACAGATCTGTGTTAACTGTTTTATGCAACAAATACCAAATATTCCGCAACTTACATTTAAAACATCCTGCCTCAGCTGTGGTGGCTCAACGCATGTCAATAGCCTGAGCAGCAAATCCATGAGCGCGGAGGTTCCTATGTGTTTCAACAGTAAATTTACAAATGCATCCCTCTTTCGTAAAAACGTGATAATCTGCAAGGAAAAAAATCCCACTTTGAAACAATGTGCACCGTAGTCCGCTTTAATACCTGCAAATACAAATTGTGTAATTCTCTACTTCCCTGGCTACCCACTGCCAAAACCAAGCATCCATTTTGACGCAATCAGTAAAATGTCAATTTCCAGTATCCCAAAAACATTCAAAAACATTTTAATTCATAAATGTTTCAGTTTCTGACTCCATTAGTGTATTAAATTAAACTTTGAGAAACAGCTTTCCGAAAGAGTTTCAGAAGACGGTCTATATTTCTATTTTCAAACAGTAACTCGCATTTTCATAGCGCATTGAAAAGTAGAAAATTGTACAAAGGGAGTCTTCACAGACACGTTATCAGAAAATGGGCACTAATCCAATGGAGGAGATATTCAGGAGGGATGAACAAAGGTGGAGGATCCAAGGAGTACAAGGACGAAAATCTAGAATATAGGAACAGGAGCAGATTGTTCACCCTCTCAAACTTTTAATTATGGATGATATGCATCACATTTTTATTTACCCATCTTAGCTCCAGATCCCTCTATAACCTTACTTAATTAAAAACTATGACCCTCATCTAAATATATTTTGGGCAATGCAAGCCATCCCTCAGTTGCAAACAGGTTCTGTTCCCAAGTTTGTTCAAAAGTCATTTTGTACGCAAGATGGAACACGACGCATGTCATCTAGATCAGCTTCAGACAATAACTAAGAAGGAGGATGGAGTTGGTGAAGCAGTCTTCTCAAATTTTAGCTCGAATAAAGAGGCTCATCCAGGACTGCACGTTGAACAATCAGACTGAGCACACACAAGAGATGCCAAGTGTCATAAGCATGTACATGTAGATTTTCTTAAAAATCAACCTGTTCAGAGAACTCAAGCAAATGTGACTTGAATCCAGGCCTCCTGGCTCAGAGGTAGGGAGATTACCATTGTATCACAAAAGCCCTAGCAGCATATATTAGACGACCTCATGCCTAAGGATGTTATATGTAGACTACTTTTGGAGACCAAAGGTATATGAAAGGGAAAGCATGAAGGTCTGGTTGTCTGTCAAAGGGTGCAGAATGGTCCAGGAGTAATAATACATTATAATTAGAGAATTACATTTGTGAACTTGGTTAGGGCTGTGGGATGGATGAAAAGCTAATTGGAGGTATTCAAACGTGGAGTTAAGAGAAAGTAGAGCACAGATTTTGGGGTGACAACAATATGTTATAAGGCAAAGTTGGGAGAAATATATTTGAGGATATATTATGTTTTGAAAAGACAGACAGAATAGAAAAGGAGTAGTAGTCCCGAGAGCAAAGGATGACTTAAGGTGAGAGTGGTACAAAAGGATCTTGGTTCAGAAGATCAGGACGTAGAATCAGGAAGATGTGTCGAGCACAAATTTTGTTCAATACTTGCAGAAGTCAGAATGAGAAAGTCAAAATAAAAGCTGATAAATTGCCCATTTAATTATGCTTACGAGGCCACAGTAGTGTAAACATTGAGATGAATCCAATGTCTTGTTCAGTGGGAAGATACAGTTGTATGGACTTTCAGCATTCATTTGCTTCCTATTCAACTGCATGTCAAAATAGTCCGAAAACCTTCATGGATGATTTAAATCACATCCCTTTCCAACAATATACAGCATGAACACCTGAACCAAAAAGGTGCCAATGTTGTTAAAATCAGCGCTACAAAGAATCCTTGTGTTAAATGCATTAACAGCATCATTTGCATAAAAAATCTGCCAATTTACTGAAAACCTTTATTTCTAAGATTCTATTCTATTCCTCATTCCAATGTCTACAAGGCACAAGTCAGGAGTGCACTGGATGAGTATGCCTGGATGAGTGCAGCCCAACAACAAAAGAAGGTTGACACCATCCAGGACAAAGCAGTCCCCTTGACAGACATCACATCCATAAAGCCTCACCCTCTCCACCACTGATGCACAGAAACAATAGTTTGTACAATCTACAACATACAATGCAGAAATTCACATAGGCTCCTTAGATAACGCCTTTCAAACCCACAACTTCCATCTAGAAGGACAAAGGTAGCAGCTACATGAGAACACCGTCATCAGCCTGCTCCCCTCTAAGCCACTCATCATCATGACCTGGAAATATATAGCAATTCCTTCAGTGTCACTGGTAAAGATCCTGGAACTCCCTCCCCACTGATAGTGTGGTCTATCTACACCAAATGACTGAAGTGGTTCAAGAGGACAGCTCACCACCACTTTTTCAAGGGTAACTAGGGATAGACAATAAATGCCACCCCAGTCACAAATGCCCACTTCCCATGAATATATATTTTTTAAATATGTTAAATGCTCTTTTCTGATGATAAATCTGAAACATGGGATTTTTGTGTTAATTGTTAAAACTTGGACAGCAAAGCCAATTCTGAAGTCTACCAGTAGTTTGGGCTATGGGAGTGAAGCTGCAGTCTATCACGCAAAACCACGCAGCCTGTATTAAATGGTTTTCTTCGGTAATACACATAAAATCTACATCCACATGCTCCTACCTGGTCAGGTTTTCTGCTGATAAGAATGCTGAGCACTTTACTAAAGAAACTGGCAAGCAAAGGGTTAAGTGGTGGCTCATTCTGCAGAAAGCTGTAAAGTCGTGTCAACAAAGGTTCATCTTCTGCCAGTCGGTCATTCAGTTGTGCTACATCTGACGTAAGTAGCTCGCATGATATGTTGGGATACCTAGAAGAAAAAGAATTTTAAACCAACACAAATCAAGTTTCATTCCAGTTAGTTTTTTGCAAAAACGTCCAATTATTTAATAATACCATATCATTTTAACAGCACATTGTACTCTTTCTTTAAAGCATCTTACTGCCTGCCACCAGACGTCATTTTGGTCTCTTGCCATAAAAAGACTCAGCTGTTGTTTGACACGGGTATCTCAGCAATAACGTAAAACAAAGAACTGCAAGTGTTGGAGATTTAAAACAAAAACAGAAATTGCTGGCAAAACTCAGCAGGTTTGGCAGTATCTGGGCAGAATGCAGAGTGGTTAATGTTTCAAATCTAGTGACACCTCATCAGGACTAATAATAGGTAAAAGTGCTATTTATACTAAAGAGGTGGTTGGGGAGGTGCTGGGAGTAGGCGAAGGAGACAGCGGTTAGGTGGAGATGGAGCAAGAGAGGCACACAGAGAGAGAGACACACACAGAGGCACAGACAGAAAGGGGATGGGAAAGACAGAGACACACACACACACCACAGGCAGAGGGGGGAGAAAGCCTCACAGAGACAGACATAGATAGATAGATAGATAGATAATGAAAGGGATAGGCAAAAGAGACAAGTATTGATTTTCTTTATTTCAAAAATATACTTCATTCCAAAAATATATTTATATACATACAGTAGCATGAAGAAACAAATATTGGAGTTTGACTCTACCCAGGTAAAAACTCAAGGCATTTGTTACTTGTTCAAGACTACATTTACACACATTTGAGGCACCGGGAGGGTCCGATAACTGAACGGACCTCCATTTAAATTCAGCAGAAAGACCTCAGACAGTGGTCTTTCCCCACCGTGCCTGCATCCCTCAGCACATAGTCCTTGGAATGTGCCAGTTTGCAACACTTGATCAAGGTGAACCCCTTGCTCTGGACGACCAATAAGTTGTGGGCAGACCAAAGAGCGTCTTTCACCGAGTTGACAGTCCTCCAGCATAGTTGATATTTGTCTCGGTGCACGTCTTGGGGAACAGACCAGACAGCAGTGTCTTGCATCACAAAGCTGCTTGGGACGAATCTCAACAAGAACCACTGCATCTTTCTCCAGACTTCCTTTGCAAAGGCACATTCCAGAAGGAGGTGTGTGACTGTCTCTATACCCACAACCCTCAACACCCACACCCACACCCATACCCCCTTCAATGCCAGCTTGCTGTCGTACATGAAGGATCTCAGGTAATGCCCTTCTCACCACTAGCTTGGAAAGTTCTGGTGATGAGGCATTCTGCCAAATGACTTCAACAGTCTGCTCAGGGAACAGCCCAGCAGGATCCTCCTGTCCTTTTCACTCTGGGTCGCGAGGATGCTATGTGCTGACCACTTCCTGATGGAATTGTGATCAAAAGTGTTTCTTTTTGCAAATTCTTCCATGAAGGACAGGTGATAAGGAACTACTTGGAGCATTCACAACAATGAGACCATTCCCCTTTCACAACACTGGTGACAGGAGGTGATTATTGAGAGAAGAGAAGTTGAATAAAAGATAGACAGAGCTGAGAATAGGAGAGAATTATAGAACTCCTGCAGTGTGGAAACACACCAAGTACATAATGACCCTCCGAACAGCATCCTACCTAGTTCCACCCCTCTACCTTATCTCTGTAACCCTGCATTTCCCATAGCTAATCTACCTAGCCTGCACATCCCTGGATGCTATGGGCAATTTAACATGACCAATCCTTATTAGTCTGCACATCTTTGGACTGTGGGAGGAAACTGGAGCAGCCAGAGGAAACCCACACAGAAACAAAAACAAAGTTGCTGGAAAAGCTCAGCAAGTCTGGCAGCATCTGTGGAGGAGAAAACAGAGTTAACGTTTCGGGTTCAGTGACCCTTCCTCAGAAACCCACACCGATGCAGGGAGAATGTGCAAACTGCACACAGTCATCTATGGCTGGAATCAAACCTGGGTCTCTGGTACTGTGAGGTAGCAGTGCTAACCACTGAGCCACCGTGCCGCCCAAGGCTGTAGGCTGTGCTGAAAGCAACCCATGTGATGTAATAATAAGCCTGACAGTGGGGGAGAATGGGTCGGCTGTGCTGAAAGCACCCCATATCATGACAGGACCAGGTGTGAAGGTGGGTTAACAGAAAGTGGAAGGACAGAATCAGGCTCTAAAATTATTGAACTAGTTGTTGGGCCCCTAAATACTGCAGGGTCCTGAAGCAGAAAATGAAATACTGTTCATCAAGCTTCTGTTGAGGTTTGCTGGAAGACTACAGCAGGCTGCAACAGAAATGTTGGCCAGGAAACATGGCGATGCTTTGAACTGGCAGGCAACTGGAAGCTCAGTCATTTTTATGGACAAAATGTAGGTGATCAGCAAAGCAGTCACCCAGTCTATATTTCGCCTCCCAAATGTAGAGGAAACCACATTCAACAATGAATACAAGTAGACTAGATTGAATGAAGTGCAGATAAATCGCTGCTTCACCTGGAAAGTGTGTCTGGGGTCTTGGATAGTTAGGAGGGAGGAGGAGGAGGTAAACAGGCAAGTGTTAAACTTTCAGTGATTGCATGGGAAGCTGCCATGGAGGCATAGGGAAGTTGAGAATGGAGGAGTGGACCAGGATGTCCCTGAGGTCCCTGCAGAATGCTGAGAAAGGATGGGAGGGGAATGTGTGCCTGGTCATGGAATCCCACTGGACGTGATGGAAATGACAGCTTACAATCCTTTGAATGCAGAGGCTAGTGGGGTGCTGAGGACCAGGGAGACCCTATCGTTGTTGTGGCAGGGAAGAAGAGAGGTGCGGGAGATGCTCAGTCAACCCGAGTAGCAGGGAATCCTTGGTTGAGGAAACAAGTGGACATTTGAGGCCCCCTGTGGAAGGTGGCATTATCAGAATAGATGTGACAGAGATGGAGAAACTGGGAGAATGGGATGGAGTTTTTACAGGAAGCAGGGTATGAGGATGTATTGTCTAGGTAACTCTGAGAGTTGATGGGTTTGTAATGGCTATCGGTGGCCAGTCTATCCCCAGAAACGGAAACAGAGAAATCGCCGAAGGGAAGCGAGGAGCCAGACATGGACCAGGTGAAGGCAAGAGCAGAATGGAATTCTGGAAACAAAAGTGATAAAGTTTTCAATTCTGGATGGGAAAGGGAAGCAGCACCGATGATGTTATCAATATGCTGGAGAAACAGTTGCAGAGAGGGGCCCAAGTAGGACTGGAACAAGCAATGTCTCACATACTCCTCAAAGAGACAGACATCACTGGCGCTCATGCAGGCACCCATGGCCACACCTTTGACCAGAAGGAAGTGAAAGAGGAGTTAAAGGTGAAGTTGTTCAAAGTTCTCAGCAGTAATATTGTTTAGAAACTATTTTCATTTTGCTTTGAGCTTCGTTCAATGGTATCACTCTTTCTGCCAGAAGTTGTGGGTTCAAGTCTCAGTCCAATACATAATTCTAGGCTGCACTGGTCTTGTTGTGCAGTAGTAGTTTCCCTACCCTGAGCAAGGATGCCGAGGTTCAAATCATACCTGTTCCAAAGGCATGTAATAACATCTCTGAATAGAAAATATCCATAATCTAGGCTGACAGGTCATTTGTAGAAGACTGCTCTCCTGTCTGAGATGCCCATTTTTGGATCAGACATTTAAACAAGGGCCCTGTCAATTCATTCAGGTGAACACAAAAGATGCAATGACAGTATTAAAAGCAGAGAATGGAAGCTCTGCAGGAATCCTAGTCAAAATTTCTCCTTCATTTAATAAGGATCATATGGAAAAGAATCAGTAGAACAATATTTCTGAAATAAATAAAAGGAAATGAAGCAGAGTATTAATGAAAAATTATGCTTTAGGCACTATACGTAAACAAAAGCAGAGAGCTCAACATGAATGCAAAGATGGTCATCAAAAGGCCATTTGCACATGCACATGGTGATATCAGTTCCTGGAGACAGGCATCAAAAAATCCAGAATGAAAGAGAGACAGACATGGTGAAATTGTGTCAAAAGAACATCACCCTTAAGAATACGCTTTCAGCAATGTCCTCAACACAACCACTATCTGGTGCTCCATCCAGGCATCTTAAAAGCTCCAGAGCGTAGTAATTTACTGACAATTCTACAGTGTTCAGCTTTATTCAGATTCCTGTGACAATAAAACAGCCAACATTACCCTAATGCATTAATAATTTTAACACCAGCTGACAAGTAAAAATGTTTGTACGTGTACAATTTTAGGTACCAGCTAACGGCTAGCAGCTAGGTAATGCCACCTGATCTTCTGTTCCACCCCTCCCTTACTATTCTCATGTTTTTCAGCATTGAAATGGAGTCCAGGTGGGAAAAAGTTCAAGAGCTCCTGAAACTGATTTTTGTCAAATTTATGCAAAAATCACAAGAAAGAATATATGAAAATTCATGAGTAAAGACAGAAGTCAAGAATAAGGAACATCCCTTAAAAGCTATCAGATTCATCGTGTCATCATTAGTTTTCTAAAATACATCTTTTAGCAATGCTTTAGTGTCATGAATTTCCTTTTCTAAAGCAAATAGTTAATAATCTGACATTGACCCATCTTTAACAAGAATTAAATAACAATAGTTACTTCTCACCTCCACACTAAAATGCCATTTATCAAGCTTCACTTACTGTAGCTCAATATATTGTAAAGTCACCAAAGTACTACCATATCACTTAGCTGCTCTTTCGTTACAGAGATAACTGGTGGTGGTTTAACCGGAGGGTCATCATGCCTCAGGTGAGTAGAGAGTTGTGAAAGAGAGTCCTTCATGGTAACCTTAGCCAGTGCAGGAATTGAACGTACACTGTTGGCATCACTCTGCATTGCAAACCAGCCATCCAGCCAACTGAGCGATCAACCCCCAAGAGTTCACTTTCAATAATAATATTTTCTTACTTGTATTTCATCTTCTCATCCATGTCATCTGGTGGCTCTTGAGTGATGTATGTGACTAGATCTTCCATACTCTGTGTTCGGACCAGAAAGTCCAGGAGTTTGCGGTTCTGAGCTTTACATTCCTGCAAAACATCTTCCTCATCCATTAGTTCAGTCAGAGTCACATCTTCCTTCTCTAGGAGTGTATCTATATGGGATGACGTGTGAAGATCGAACTTCCAAAACATGATGCACTAATTTGGAAGATAAACAAGGTCACTCAGAATGAAGATTTAGTTCGACAAGGGAGGGGAAAAATCTCCATGCTGTTTACATCAGAAAACAGGGTGTGGTTCTCTGGTATCTCAGCAAGCAAACGTATCGCCTTAATGTAAGACAAGGTCATATGGACACGGAATCAAAGTTTAATCACTAATATATACAGAGTGCCATTTGAAACCCCAAAGCTAATAAGAAGACTGGAAAATAAAATCTCGGACAAGGAATACAAGGTGAATAGAGAGTCAAAAGATTACAAGGTAATGGAAGTACAGCAAACTTTGTTTTAACCAGCACCTTCTGAATTGGCACTCTCTCTAAACTGGTAAAAAAAATTATGTTCTTGAAATACTGGAAATCTACTATATTATTACAATCTCCAAACAGTCAGTTCAGAGTGCGAGTGAGAAGGCTTTATGCCAACATGTTTTATTTGAGGTGAAGTTGCGCTATTATTTAAGTGATTTATGCTGTAAATAAAGTAGAACAATGATGTGTATATCTCTGCAATATGTTTCTATTAGTTAGTGTGAATTTTTACACTGATTATGAGGACTTCTTGATCAACCAGCACACTCTTGGACCCATAGGTGTCAGTTAATACGTTTGCTGTACTTTAACACTGACCTACATGTGTATGGAGGGTGGAATGGTCAGTGTTCATATTTTACAAGATTAATGTACTCATGGTGTAAACATGCCTAAAACATACACTTCATGGTGAAAATATGGAGAGCATCTATATTCTGATGAATAATTTGAATGCGAGGGAAATTGTGGCAATGTTGGTTTAGAAAGGAAAAGAAATGGGAAAATATTCAAAATTGCTCTGTAGCCAGTTACCAATATGAGAAGGTATTCTGAACATTTGTATGAGGGGAATAACAGTAAGAGTAACAAAGCAAACAAGGTAGTGGAAAAGGAGTGAAAACAGTGCTGAATTGCAGGCAAGGGTGTTGAGAAGGGCTTATGTAGTCTCACTAAAAATGAGTCCAGTTCACCTATCCATAGTTTGATAGTAAATAATTCCATATTGCTCTTTGAAGCCTTAATATCCAACTGGAGTTTCAGCTCCAGTTCTCTTCAATTTTATCAGCCATTGTAGGAATTTTTAAAACAACTGTTGTCCACTTACTTTAGATTATTAGGCTGCAAGTGATATACCTATTCTTTTTACGTTAAGGTAGGGCAGCTTACTCGCCTTCTCAATTTTGAGCTCAGCATTTGACTAGTCATATGAAATATGAGTCTTCAATATGCTCACAGACAGCCAGGTAAATTAACAGAGTGCCTCGGGATCAAACAGGGAACCACTACCATTTTACTTTGGCTGGCAGGCTTTATTACATGTTTTTCTTTGCCTTAGCAAGGTGGTCGTTTGACATTGCACAAGATTGTGCTTCCCTTTAAACACTTTATGGTTTACTGTATTTGAGTAGTATCGATGACAACTTTAACTTGACTTTCAGCAGTTAGTAAACAAATACCTAAGACCAATTGTTTCTCCTTTCACTTTCATCAGGCCTTTGAACCTGGCTGCGATCATTGCATTTAAAATACTTCAAAAACATACAATGCCTTTGAAGCATGTAAGATGGTCTAAGGGTTTGAATAGCATTTTGTAAAATAATTTGGCATTGTACCGAAGAAAACTAAATACTGGTCTTTAGAACTTCCTTTCCTTTCTCACTGTCTGACCAGACTCTCCAAAGACTTCAGATACAGTCTCCGATTTTACTGAGGCAGACTAGTACTTTGAGAAAATAACCAGGATTAGAGGTGAGTAACAAATTCTGGCCTTGCCAGTGACACACGCCCCATAAAAGAATTTTAAAAAGTACGTATCAGCCATTTTTAGTTTATATTAATAAAGACTATTTTAACCATACATCTGTGCCTTGCTTGAAGGTGTACAACATTTATCCGTAATCAGTATCAGTATCCTTACCATTATTTAGAAGGCACATTCTGCTCCAATAAAGAGTATTTCAATGAATTACAAATAAGAATACCTTTCTTTAATATGGTAGCAGCTACAACCATTTTGGAGGTAATGAATACAGTTGGCAGCTTTTGCGACGATTCAATTCTTTAAAGACAGCACTATCACAACTTACTTAATCTTGGAAGGATTTCAAAGGCTTCCAAAACAAACAAGCAGGACTTCAAGACCCTTCTCATCCTGAAGGATACAGCGAATGGTTATATACTTCTGAGCCAGGAGGCCAGTGCTCAAGTCTTACCTCTTCCAGAGGTATGTAATAACATCGCTGAGCAGATTGATGAAAAAAAATCTAAAACCTTTACTACAGCAAGTAACTTCCTGATTCCTCAGTGTCTACCAACTGCAAGGCACAAGTCAAGAATGTGAATGAATGCTCTCCATTTGTCTGGATGAGCACGACTCCAACAACACGCACGGCACTCAACATCTAGGACAAAGCTCTACTCACCTAAAAGGGCAAATGCATATAAACGGGAACACGTGCACCTGCAAACTCCCCTAGTTTATCGCTTGCTCAACTTGGAACTATGTGACTGTTCCTTCACTTTCCTTTGGTCAAATTCCTGATACTCCCTCCTTGACAGCACTGATGGTGTAGCTACATCATCTGGACTGCAATTGTTGAAGGAGACAGCTCATTATCATCACCTCAGAAGCAATTTGGAATGGACAATAAATGCAGGTTGAGCCAGGAACAGTTATATCCCATGAATGAGTGCTGGCATACAGTCAACATTGACTCCAAATCCCATGATGCCTCATGGCCTAAGGTTAGACATGGGCAAGGAAACCTACTGCTGATTACTACGTACTGTCTTCCCTCGGCTAATGAATCAGTACTCCTCCATGTTCGGCAACACTTGGAGGAAGCACTGAGGGTGGCAAAGGTGCAGAAAATTTACTCTGGGTTGGGAATTTCAACATGCACCACTAAGAGCTCAGCAGCCGCATTACTGATTGAGCTGGTCAGGTCTTAGAGGTCATAGATGCTAGACTGGGTCTGTGGCAGTTGATGAGAGAATGAAAAAAGGGAAAAATTTACTTGACCCCACCCTTATCAATCTGTCAGCCACAGATGCAAATGTCCATGGCAGTATCTGTAAGAGTGATCACCACGCAGTCCTTGTGGAGACGAAGTCCCATCTTCACATTGAGAATACCCACCATCATGTTGTGTGGTACTCTCATGCTAAACAGGACAGAATTCAAATAGATCTAATAACTGAAGACTGGGCATCCAGGAGGTGCTGGGGGCCATCAACAGCAGCAGAATTGTACTCCAGCACAATCTGGAACTTCATGACCCAACCTCCACCCCACCATTACCATCGACTCTTGTTCAATGGAATGTACAGGGGGCCATGCCAGGAGCGGCACCGGGCATTTCTAAAACTGAGATGTCAACCTAGAGAAGCTACCAAACAGCAGACTACCTGCGAACATATGCAGCAAGTGAAGGACAGAGCTAAGTGATTCCACAACTAACACAGCAGATCCCAGCTCTGCAGTCCTGCCACATCCAATTGTGGTGGACAATTCACTGGAGGGGACAGTTCTACAAATATCTCCATCCTCAGTGATGGAAGAGCCCAGAACATCAGCACAAAAGATAAGGTTGAGGCATTTGTAGCAATCTTCAGCCAGAAGTAGCAAGCTGGCTCGCCGAGCTGGTTTGTTGTTTTGCAGATGTTATCGTGCTGGGAAACATCATCAGTGCAGCCTCCGATGAAGCGCTGTTGTGTTTCCCCGCCTGTTATTTAAACTCTGGAGTCCGTTGAGCTGGATTACCTCACTTCCTATTTTCCTTTGCAGTGGAGCGTATATGGGGTCAAGCTCTTATGTGTTTGTTGATGGCTTTCTTCGTGGAGTACCACGCTTCTTGGAATTCCCGTGCTTCAGAGACCAGCACGGGAATTCCAAGAAGC